GGCCCACAGTCCACATTTTTATAATAAGTAATGTGTGGGTTGATCATTTAAGATCATGGTTTTAACATCCATTAATGATCCTGGCCTAAATCAATTATTTTATTGGGGGTGGTAAAATGGGGATTTTTCTATTCTATTATTCTTTCTACATTTATTAGCTGCTATTTTGAAAGGATTTCCCATATCCCACCTTTTCCTTCCTGTCTGCCTTCTTTCCTTCCTTCCTTTTGTTCTATTTTTCTTTCTTTATGTTTTTAAAGTATCACTATAGAATCATGGGTTCTTTTGAATTTAAAGTTTTATAATCCATTACTGTCGTTATTCTTTTTGATGTTCAAATTACCCAAAATTTGGTTATTTCATAAAGACTCTGAAATAAGTCAAAAGGATAAACTTGAGGCAAAATTTGGCAAAAGCTACAAAACAGTCATTTTTCAGTATTATATACATTTATTGAGGCATGTTATTCAAAACATTTAACAAATAGCACAACACAGTAATTAATCAATCAGATTCCTGGCAGTAAAGAATTGGTATATGTTGTGCACCAATTACTCCCTTAATATAACTGACAGAAGCAAAATTTCAAGTTTTTTATGTGAATAATTTTATTCCTACCAAAAAATCTCAGTATTACTAATGTACTAGTATAAAAACAATGTCAAACCAGATAATGCTCAATAAAAGCATGGTCTTTAAAATCCTTAATGGGTGTTAACATGTCACAAGTAAACATTTTTTTTTTTTAAGGAGGGCGCAGCTCACAGTGGCCCATGCATGGATCGAAACAGCAACCTTGGTGTTACCAGCACCAAGCTCTAACCAACTGAGCCAACCAGCCACCCCACAAGTAAACATTTTTAAGGTTACATGGCTCTCAAACATTTTTGAAACTGTAGATTATAATCAATTACCTTAATTTATTCTTACCTTTTCTATCAGAAAATGGTCTTGTTCCCAAATAAATATACCAATTTTTCTTCTTATTTCTGTGGTAGGAAAAAGAAACCCAATACTATTTTTTTAAAAGTAACTTTGTAGAATTTTATGAATTTCGCTTTAAGTATGAAATTTCTAGGCCAGCATTATTCCACTTATATAAAAATCAAGAGACTTGTTTAAAATGCAGATTCCTACTAA